TTCACACTGGAAGTTTGAGGTTACATACAGTGCTCATAAAAAGTGTTCACCCCCGTGGATATTTCTCCTTTTTATTGCTTTTTATCCTTGAATCATGATCAGTTTAGTTTTTAATTTAAGTGCAAACAGATTTTTACAAAGTAATGTCAATTAATCAGGGCTCATTGATGTAACGATACTGTGGTGTTGTATATGGTGGAGAATGCGGGCATTCATTTAAACTGATGAGTGTGTTGTGTGCTTGTTTGTTGCATGATCATAGTGTGATGGACAGTTTTACTTAAGATCCAGACATGTTTGGATCTTTTCTTTAGTGTAACACAGATACTCAGCTCTATCTAAATATAAAATATAAACTGCAGTAATTGTCTCTATCTGATTAGTTTCTCAGTCCAGTGTAAGTGAGGGCAGATCCAGGTGATGCTCCCTGTTTATTCGGTCCCAGAGAGCTGATGACTGAGACAGTTTTTATCGTTACTACGAGTCTCTGGTCTTAATCACCTGTGCTTTAAACGCCCAGTAGCTGATTTGGAGCTAATCTGTTGACAACAACTATAACCCCGTCTCAAAGCACCACACATTGTCAGCTTGTGCATTCCCACTGGTTAAGCCTATGCATGCAGCCGCTCACTGTTAGGACTTAAAAATGCGAGTCTGGAGGTTGTAGTTTGAGTTTGATCACATAGATTCATGACTGGACCTGATGTACAGGCTGCACGATTCATTTGTTGATGGGGTTCAAATACACATTTTTTGGTCCCCAAACCGGACAGTAATTTCTGTATTGTCGCTAAATTTGGACCTGGTTCTGAATGCCTCTTTGTATGTCCAGATCCAGATCCAGATCCAGATCCAGACTCGGTGTCGATGTCCAGACGAGGGATCGAGGACAAACTGGTGGAGGAGTATCGAAACTGCTCCTACTTCAAACAGACCAAAGCGGAGCTGGGTAGGTACAAAAGTGTTGTCATGTGCACTGAAGTGTCTGAAAGCACTTTAAAGTTAAATTAACTTCACTAACTAATACACCTTTAGGTTCCCTAAACAAAAGCACCTCAGGTTACCTTATCTGTATACATCTCCATTTTAAATCTACACATTTTTCCAGGAGATGAGAAAAATGCCTCCTCAACACGAGGTTTTTACAACAGTTATTGAGGTTTTGGCGCCATAACAAGAGTACCAGCAAACTAAAGCAGTTTATCCTCAATTACAAGTTGAGATGATAAAAGTCAGAATCTAAAACCAGATCATAAAGAGACACAAAATGTCCTCAAAAAGATGCAAAGTTACCACAGAGATGCAAAACCTGCACAGTGATGAAAAAACATCGTGATTAGACGCACAGTGACTGCAAACATAAGACAGACAAGCACAAAGACCTGCAAACGATCATAAAGATATGCAAAAAGGCCATAATGAGAGAAGTGAACATGCAAAACAACCTTAAAGAGACGGAAAACAGCTGCAAAGAGACACAGAGCAACCACAAAGAAATGCCCAACTGATGAAAACGCCCAAATCACCAAACAAAACACGAAGATAGAACCAAAAAAATTTACCGAATGAACGCAAAGACGTGCAGGACAATGAGAAAGAAACACAAAAACACAAAACAACCACAAAGACACACAAAATGACCACTAATACGCAAAACAACGACCAACATGACAGGCAGAACCATCCCAAACTGACCGCTTTGAGACATCAAGTGAACACAAACAGATTTGAAACAACCAGAAACAAATGACCGCAAAGAAACACAGAGCAACCACAAAGAGGCCAAAACGACTCGGAAAGACTGGAAAACAACCAGCAAAGGAAGCACATTGACCAGTAAGAGACACTAAATGAACACAAAGACATGCAGAACAATCGCAAAGAACCCCACAAAACAACCACAAAGAAATTCAGAGCTGTCAGAAGACGGCTTCAAAGAGTTGTAGCTGTACAGGTAGCACCATAAAACTCTTTCAGAATCTAAGCCTTCTCCAACCTTTTGCGTCTCAGAGAGGATCGTCGAAGGAAAGCCGACCACCACGTCTTCCCGTTCCAGAACCATCACCTACAACACCAGCTTCCTCACGCAGTTCAGATGGGTTCTCAAGAGAACGTTCCAGAACCTCCTGCTCAACCCTCAGACCTCCATCGCTCAGGTAGGAGCGCCGAGCAAACCCGTTTCTGAGTTTTGTCACCTACCGACCCCCTCCAGCGACTCACTGCTGTGCGTTTTCACTCCGTTCAGGTGGCGGTGACGCTCTTCCTCGCTCTGGTTGTGGGCGCCATCTTCTTCGGCGTAGAGGAGAACGAGAGCGGACAGCAGAACAGGTCATTTGTTCTTCTCTGGTTCTGCTAACTGTAGCATGCTAGGAGATTGAGCAGGAGTAAACACAACCGTAGTACTACTGGGGCGTTCCAGCCTTATTCACTGTACTTTTACCAAAATGTCATGCCGGACCATCTCAGATTTGTCAGAAGCGTGTAAACTGTTTGGTTTTACTTTTACCCTGGTAACAATACTGTAAAAGTCTCCCAGTTCGGACACTACTGGAGTGGTTTCACCATCATACCTGCCCAGTGCATGTACAAATATTGGCCTTCAATGCAAAAATGGTAACTTCCATAGGGTGCCAATCACAGGAAGAAAAGTTTGCCTCGTGATATGAAAAATAAAGGTTTTATGGTCGGTGGAATATTGAAACGTGACAATTTTTTGAACAAATTTGCACCAATATATAATTGATTTGTGTTATTCTATCAAAACAGGGTTGCACCACTGAAAATCATATGTACATATCGATAAATGTGCAAAATTTCAGGACTCTAGCTGTATTATTTCTTAAATTGTGGCACTGCGAAGAAAACGCCACAAAAAAATCGACATGACCCATCTTCTTTAAGAAAATTTACCTCAAAAACTTACCCGTGAGCCCAGATGTCACACCTGGTCAACTCGATCAATCATCACCGCTCAATAAATGGTCAGGTGTGGAGCATTCGGTGAACTGCTGATAGTTCCAGCTGTGCAAAAATGTCATGGTTGTTGGGGAAAGTATTTTATTCTGGCGGTTATATTGGATTATTCATTGTGTTTTCAGGTTCGGCGCTCTCTTCTTCGTGGTCGTGAATCAGTGTTTCAGCTCCCTGTCGTCTGCCGAACTCTTCATCGCAGAGAGGAAACTCTTCATGTGGGTCCGACACACGAAACAAACCGACAATCAGTTGTTCTTGCATTTTTCTGATAAAACAGGGAAAACTTCTGGGAGGAAATGGTGAAACAAAAGCATACGACTGGTTGATGATTCAGTGCTAAAAAGAAAAAAAACTGAGACCAGCTGAACTTGAATTTGTAGCTTTACATCTTTACATCAACGCGTGTTTTTTTTTTTCAATGTATGAGTAGTGGCAGAAAAAACAGTAAATATGATAGAAGCAAATCAACACTGTGGCTGTGCTTCTTGGTGTCTCTGCAGTCACGAGTACATCAGCGGCTACTACAGGGTGTCCGTCTACTTCCTGTCCAAGATCCTGTCCGACATCATCACGCTGAGGACCATCCCCGGCGTCGTCTTCACCTGCGTGGCGTACTTCATGATCGGTGGGTGGAGATGCACAGTACGCCCCGTTTACCACGAACAAATGAAGCTAGCACATCGTCGAAATACCTCAGAACTGTTGGGTTCTGTGTAGGTTAGTTAGGTTAGCCTCCATGATTAATAATACTGTAGGGTCTTAGTTCTATTATTTAAATTAGTCAGGCTAATCTCCACAATTAATATTATTTAAGGGTCTTAGCCTTAATATTTAAATTAGTTAGAATAATCTCTGTAAATAATAATATTGTAGGTTCTTGGTTGTATCGTTTTAATTAGTTAGGCTAATTTACATATTTGATAATATTGTGGGGTCTTAGTCTTAATATTTAATCCAGTCAGGTTAATCTCCCCAATTATTAACACAATACTCATATTTTGCTTTCATATCGTCCTTTAGTGCATTTAGGACTTTGTTCTCGAAGTTTTCCAAGAGAACGTCACAGATGATGAGTTCAAGGACTGACGGAAAGTTGAAAATCTGTCGAATGTGGCTGTTTTTACAATTGCTGGCTCATACATGGTGTCATTTTGTCAGTTAAAAAAAAAAAAACACCTGTAAAACATGCCAGCAAGCTTTGGTGTCCAAAGGTTTAACGTTGTGGCTGATTTGTGTTTTTTTAAAGTTTGTTTTTCGTGCTGCTTTGGCCATATTACACTTCATCTTAGTGTACACCACTCTGCTTGCACTGCTCCTTGTATTTGTCCTTTTTTTAAAACTAACCATTGGTTTGGATATTGGAAATATTGGATCATTTATCTGTGGACGCTTTGACGGATTTGTTTCACGTGTTGTTGTGCAGGTCTGAAGCCCACAGCCGAGGCCTTCTTCCTCTTCATGTTCTCCGTCATTCTGGTCTCCTACACGGCGACGTCCATGGCTCTGGCCATCTCCGCCGACCAGACGGTGGTCGCCATCGCCAACATCTTCATGACCATCACCTGCGTCTTCATGATGGTGAGTCGCACCGAGCTGAGAAATGTTTCTGCAGCTTCAGTTGCCTTAAAACTCTTTTACTGGTTGGTTCGGATGATCAGCAACGCTTCATTTGGCAGGAAGAAAACATCCAATCAGTCGGCCCGCTTCAATTTCTGCATCACGTCCTCCTTTGTCTCAATGCTACGTTAGAATTAAGGCTGTGGGTGGTTAGCTAGCTATGTGCTAATATGTGCAGCTTAGAGACCAAATGTTGTGGCTGCTGTTGGAGTTTTGGTTTCTGAAAGTTTAGTAAATTCCAAACATCTGCTAAGCTTGTTAAGTTGTGTTTGGGACATTCAGCTTGAGGTTCAGTTTCCCCACATTTATTTAACATTTTCTCAACATTTCAGTGGGTGCGACAAACCTGCGACTCCATTATGAAATGCTAACTTTATTTGCCTTATATAGCAAGTAAGTCAGGAAACATGGAGGAAGAACATCCAGAAACTGCTCAGAGGATTAAATGGGTTTCATAAATAACGGTGACTCGGCTTGTTCTTCAAGTTTTGGTCATCCATCCATCCATCCATTATCGATACACCGCTTGGTCATTTATTTGTTAATTTCATGTTAAGAAAGTGGAGAAACAGGCACAAATTGAAGCTAGTTTTCAGGTTATAAATCCGTCACAATCGCCCACATTTCAATGTTTCGCTCATTTTTCTTCTCCTGTGCAGATCTTTGCAGGTTTGCTGGTGAACCTTCCCTCCATCGCCAGCTGGCTCGCCTGGTTGAAATACTTCAGCATACCGAGATATGGCTTCACTGTGAGTAAATTCAGGTTCTCACTACTTTAGACTGCTTTTTTTATTTTTGAAAATCCTTTTGTGGTTTGACGAATAAAAGCAGTCTAAGAAGAAGCTTTGACACATTTCCATCTTAAAAACCAAACACTGATTTCTGGACGTGATGCTTGTGCTTCTCTTCAGGCTCTGCAGATCAACGAGTTCACTGGACTGAACTTCTGCCAGGAAGGCACATTCAGCCACAAGTAAGAAACACTAACAAACGTCGGTATGACTAATTCTGATGCGACTATAATGCGACAGCGATGGCGCCACCCTGTAGACAGCACAGTGCATTACAGCCAACTGAACTATGGTAACTCTAACCAATAGTTAGATGAACTTACCAGTTACCGAGCTGCATGGTTGGTTGGTTACTTCAACTAAAGACGGTTATTGCATTACTGCACTGGAAGTACTGTCGATAGTTCTGCAGGAAAACTTTTTAAAATTAGTTTTATTGCTAAATAGTTGATTAGATCTGAAGCTGGAAGTTGGTTTGACACTAAAAGCTGAGCAGGTTGGTTAGTTGACAGATAGTTGGTTTCATGAACTAACCAGCTTCCCGTTCAGTTAGACGGGAGGTTGCTCGCTTTAGTTAGTTTGTTGGTTGTTGACTTTGATTAATTGCGACTCAGCATCAGTTTGAAAAGCAACCGAACAAGTTGATCAGTTGAATAGTTAGTTGCCGAAATAAAAAAGGTGAGCAGGTTAGCTTGTTAGTTGTGCCCGGTGTCAAGTTAATAAATGGAAACTGCACTCTGTCAGTACGCACAAAACACTAGTTAGTCACTAAGGTGAAGCTACAGTTGACTAGTTACTGCTTAGTTACTTGCTTAAAAAGGTTGATAGTCCAGCAAAAAACTATCAGTTCTCTAGTAAGGGTTGGTTAGAGCCAGTGTATGTTTAAGGTAACTAACTGAACTCGTTGATTGAGTTGGCCACTTTGATAGTCTGTGGTTGGGTAAAAGCTGAGCAGCTTAGCTAACAGGTAGTTCAGATGGGAGGTGTCCTGCTTCAGGTTAGTTTATTGGTTGTCAACTTGGATTAACTAAGTAACAGGTTTGAAAAGTGACCAAGAGAGTTAATCTGGTAAATGGTTAGTTGTGTATGGTTAGTTACGCTGGTTAGTTATAGCGATACCGTCACACTTGCAGAGATCAAACATGATTTGTGCATCAACAGGTTTACAGTCGCCAGTCAAGGTAACTTTGAGTGATCTGGTTAGTCATCTGGTCAGCCGTCTGGTTAGCCGTCTGGTCAGTCGTCTGGTTAGCCGTCTGGTTAGTCGTCTGGTTAGCTGTCTGGTTAGTCGTCTGGTTAGTCGTCTGGTTAGTCGCCTGGTTAGTCGTCTGGTTAGTCGCCTGGTTAGTCGCCTGGTTAGCTGTCTGGTTAGTCGTCTGGTTAGTCGCCTGGTTAGTCGCCTGGTTAGCCGTCTGGTTAGCCGTCTGGTTAGTCGTCTGGTTAGCCGTCTGGTTAGTCGTCTGGTTAGTCGTCTGGTTAGCCGTCTGGTTAGTCGTCTGGTTAGTCGCCTGGTTAGCTGTCTGGTTAGCCGTCTGGTTAGTCGTCTGGTTACTCAGGAACCTTTGTGCTCTGTTTCCAGTTGCACCGGGGAGGGGATTCTGGAGAGACAGGGTGTGGATTATTCCTCCTGGGGCTTCTGGCAGAACCACCTGGCTCTGGGCATCATGACCACCTGCTTCCTCACCATCGCCTACCTCAAACTGCGCTTCATCAGGAAGTTCACCTGAACCGTCGTCTGGAAACTCTGCCGCTTGCTCTTCATCATTCTCTCATTTTTCTCTCCGCTTGGTTCAGTTTTTTTCATTCAATAAGCCGCAATGCTGATGAATCTTTTGTAAAAATTACACTTCCTGTTGGTTATAAAGACTTTAATTATTTATTCACTCCTCACCAACGTCGAACTCTTAACTCGTGTCACGATTTTTGCACTTGAACGTTTAGAGCCACACAAATACAAGAACTTTATATTTATTAATTTTTACAAAATAAAATACTGATTTTTCTGAATCCCTGTTCTGTCCATTTTTGAAATGATTTCTTCCACTCATATTGAGATTAATTAACTTTAACTGAAGATACTTTTTCGTCTTCATCAGCAGGATTCATGAAGACCAAGAGATGTAGTGGAAAGATGAGCTTCTACTGATGGTTAGTTGCTGAGTTAGTAAACATGGACACACGCCTAAACAGGAGTTATAACCGGTTAAGTAGTTTGGGTTACTTACCCACTGGCACACTCAGTTACTGCAGTACATGCTACACACATCTGTGACCATAAATTACTTAGAAAAGATTGAAATCAGGCTTTTTAATGTGAGATTTAACAAAGATTAAACCATGAAAAAATGGAGAACTAATATGAGCCCATAAAGTCATCATGAAAATGTCACTGAGCTAAGAGAAAAAAAAGAAAAAAAGAAGTGAAAATGAGGTTCATTTTTCTCATAGACTTCTATACAATCTGACTTCTTTGTGCAGCCAGCAGGGGGCGACTCCTCTGGTTATAACGCAGACCAGAGGGCTGGACTACAAGATGAGACGGCTAGCAGGTATTTTGAGACTTAAAAAGAGATTTCACTGTCGTGAAGGTTGATTTTATCCATCGGGGCTGTTTTCTAGAACTGGATCATTTTAAACATCAGTGTCACAGGTAACCGTTTATTTGTGGGAAATCAAAATCGTGATCAATATTCCATTAACTGTGCAGCCTCGGGCCCCGGCTAGCATGCTAACACGTGCTAAGTGGCACACACAAAGAACAGCTTATCACGTATTTGGTAATAAACCCACAGACTGTATGTAGAAGACTCATAAAGCGACCACGACATTCGCTGCTTCTTCTCTATTTTCCTCTAAAAGGGACTAAATTAACACCAAGATGTCTTGAAGGAGGCTTGAAACCAGTGACGGAGACCATAAACAGATCAGGGCCATGTTAACCGAAGTCACAAATCAATGAGAAGTTTTTCACTTTCTTTTCAACTTTTATACAATTTGACATTTTTCAACCGGAGGAGTCGCCCCCTGCTGGATGCTAGAAAGACTACAGGTTCTGCAGTGGCTTTATTTTTCAGACTCAGAGGCCTCGAGTTCCTCCAGCTCACCTGGTTAAAGCTCCTGCTGATCCAGCCACTGTTTGTTTGCACAGTCGAGACTCGCTGAGCTGAAGTCTCTCTTTTTTTTTTTTTATGACGGTGAAACGTCAGAGGATAATAAATCAGAAGCACACGTCTACAGGTCGGGTTTCTGCGGTCGACTGTTCAGTAGGTGTGTCTGTAAACAGACGCCGGCTCCCACGGCAACGTTGGGAAATCTCCGGTTCCACTTGAGTAACACCTGTAATGAGATCCAGGTAGAGAGCAGCAGCGTGTCGGCAAACACCCGCATGTGGGAAGTCGGTGAGTAACCGTTTCCATAAACCGTGTAAACGAGCCCTTAAGCAAGGCACCGACAGGAAGAAAAACAAGTTTGTCTCCCCCAAAATAAAGTCACGTTTCCTTCTAAGTGTTTTGTTTTGAGACCCATGAAGGCAAAAGTACCGGACGGAGATGAACGGTGGAGGTTATGGAGGAAAGATTTGGGTTTTAATTCATGTGTGAGCTCAGATAACTTCGGGATTAATTAAACCTCTGAACAGTTTCTGGACGTTTCCTCACTGTGGGTTTATTTTTCCCTGCAATCTAAAAAACTGGAATTAACATTTTCCAACTCTCCACAGGTGTTGCCATCACTGGGAGGAAAATAAAATCAGTACCTGCTATGGATATTTAACTACTTGTGGAAACACATCCTGCAGTTCAATCTAGTCCAGCTGAGAAGTCCCTGAATTTTCCTTCCCCGATTGTTGGTCGCAGCGGAGTCGTTAAAGGCTTTTTGTTTGCACCACAAAACAGAAAATTACTTGTTTTTTACAGAATATGGTTCGAGCAAACGATTTATTTTGGGCAAATTTTTGTAAACGAGACATGCAGAATAAAGTGGGGTTAGATTTGGTTCACCTTCCTGAAAGTCCAACAGTTCATGTTGTCAGCATCGGACATCCTCGCATTTCTATTAATTATGTGCAGCTCATTTGCTAGAATGAAGGCAGCAGCACCACAATGCAAAAGTACTGACACAAGTAAGCATGAAAACTATTGATTATGCAGAATATTATCCTGTTTATTTATAACTGTTGATGCATTCGTGTCCCCTCCGACTGTTGAGGAGCTCAATAATAATGCCCCGTTATTTATTTGCTCTTGTCAAGCAGTGGTGTTGTCTGAAGGGAAAGCTCTTCTCCAGCTGACATCATGGTTTTGGTAAACAAGTGAAGGCCAGACTGGATTCCAGACAAACCGAATCGCTTCTCTTTGCATCACTCTGTATAAACACCGCGTGTTTGGGAAATCACCTCGCCGCAGTTCAAACAAAGCTTTGTGGTTTCCGAGTTCCTCTCATCTGGCCTGGAGTCAAATTACACAATCTGCTGCGAGGATTAAATAAATAAAGCTGGCAGGGAAACTCCAGGTCTGTCTCCACGGCGACGGGAGTGGAGGTGAGGAAACCCGACGTCTTCCACTCCTTCTCTGTTTGGCAGCGAAAACCTCGAAATTAACAAACTGTTGCGGCCTCTGAGTGAACGGGAGTCTCACCAGAAAGAGAAAACGTCCTAAAAACTCTTGTGAAAGCGTCAAAAAACCTGAAACTGACACGGAAACACATCAGCGGGAAGTTAAAGTCACAACAACTAAAGACCGAAGCTGGTTTACACTGAAAACTGTTTGTAAACCGTCAATAATCCTGAAACTTTCACTCTTTGAATGCCTGATTAAACAGCTGAGGTCAGCGCGTGTTGAAGCTGCTCTGATGCTAAATATGTGACCAACATAAAAGAAAATCGGAAACTTCAAATACGTTAATGGCGGCTGTCGGAGTCAGAAGAAGAAACGGTGAAGGGACGACGTGGGTTAAAGCACACAAACACTCGTAACAGTCATTTAACGTGATCTTTTAAAATCATTTTCAGAGTTTCATGATGAAAGAGGAGCTGCAGGGTGGTGCAGTTGGTAGCACTGTTGCCTCGCAGCTAGAAGGTCGCTGGTTGGCGTCCCGGTGAGGACACCCGGGATCTTTCTGCGTGGAGTCTCCATGTTCTCCCCGTGCAGCGTGGGTTCTCTCCGGGTTCTCCGGCTTCCTCCCACAGTCCAAAAACATGCTGAGGCTAATTGGTGATTGTAAATTGTCCGTAGGTGTGAATGTGAGTGTGCTTGGTTGTCTGTCTCTAAGTGTAGCCCTGTGATAGACTGGTTACCTGTCCAGGTGAACCTGCCTTCACCCTGAGTCAGCTGGGATAGACTCCAGCCCCCCATGACCCTAGTGAGGATTAAGGTGTAGAGATGATGGATGGATGATGAAAGAGGCGACAGACGAATCCACAGAAATACAACTTTTTTTTTTTTCACTAGCAAATGACGACGAGTTCAGTCCAGTTCATTTGTTTCTGTGAAAATGCTGCAGACTTGATCTCAGACGGACCAGGGACGTCAGAATCAAGCTTTTCTTGTCTACAATCTGATCCAAGTCATTTAGTTTCCACCGATTATTCTGCTTTCTAGGATAATAAACGCTGCAGGTTTAGTAGATCAGCTGCAGTACCTGGTTGTTCCACCAGGTGGAGCCCCTTACCGTTAGTGACCAGATGAAGTGGGTTCAGCTCGTAAAGGGACTCAGTTTGTAATAAACACACCAACTATGGGTTGACAATAATAATAATAATAATGCTGCACTTATTAACTTTGCCAATCCGGTTCAGTTTTTCTGAAATTGTTTGATTCCACCTCGTGTGCACGTCCATGTCCAGTAGGTGTTAGTTAAAGAAGCTGGAAGTGACGTCTTAGAAAGGATTGACTTCAGGATGCTGCACTTTCAAATGACATAAATAAACTTGATTTAGCTCAACAAACTGCTCTACAATCAAAGATGTCTGGATAAATAATGGAAACATTTATTTAGAAAAACAAGACAAGAGTTAAAACATGCTGACATAAGCCAGAAAGTCGTTTGCGCTGATGTGAAGCGTGACTTCTCGTGATTCTGGGTGTCTCTGATGCTGCTTCCTCGCATCAGTGAAGTTGAGGAAAGCAGCGTCGGATTAAAAGGGTTTTCATTCTGTCGCAACTCTGGTGAGCTGCTGTGACTAAACTCAACAGTCTAGACGCTTTCATTTCGTCTCTCCTCCCTCCTCTTCACTCCCTCTCTGCCTTTTATTCTCCATCAGCCTCCTCAGCCACTCTGACTTCTCTCCAGCCTCCTTTTGCTTTCCTGCTCTGACTTCCCTCCTTCTGCTTTGCCGTCATGCGTCTGGCTGCTCTGTCCGTCGTCTCCTTCCTCCACCTCCTCAGGCTTCAGAGCGGCGCTTCGTCAGACGGTGAGTGTTTGATGAAGAAGCTGTTGTTGTAACTGGATCGGTTTTCTTTGGGTTTTTTTTTTTTTTAGCTTGTTGTCTTCACAGCAGCTTTGCAGCAAACAAAAGGCAAAGACAAAAGACAAAGACACCTCGGAGCTGTTATCATGAAATATGCAGCGCAGACGGACAGATCAGATGGCAGAGCGGTTGACCTCCACGACACAAACAGGATTCACTTTGCACACAAACCAGCCAAATCAGAAAAGACTTCAAATCCGGATATAAAAGAGGATCAAAGGCAGCAGCAGACGCCAAATTATGAGACTCAAATTTGTCATGTTGGACAGCTCTTCAAAAACATTATTAATTAACAACAACATGCTTTAAAACTCCTTCACGAACCAACAACAGCTCAGCTTTTCTAATCGGTATTAGTTTCAAAATCATCAGAACTGAAGGAAGCCTCGGCCAGCGAAGACTTCAGCGAGAGACAAACTGGTTCGGAAACGTTTGTGGTCTGAGGTCGATTCACAAAACAGTTTTTTCTGCTCCGTGTTTCCAAAACAGCAGAAACACTGAAGGTGTCGGAATCAAAAACCAGAAAGAAGAAGAAGATGATGGAGCACCGTCTAGTCTTGTTTTGTTATTTTTTCCTTTGCAAAATGTCTAAATACACATTCACATGTATGAACAAGAGCACAGACGAACAAACGTGTTTGTTCAGAACGAACGGAAAATATCCAAACCTGCTGATTCTATCTGCTCACTTTGCAAAATAAGACGAAGACAATGTTTGATGATTTGCAAACAGCTGCCAGATGTTGTAAATATTTAGTGGGTGAAAATGTGTTTGCTGCACAAAGTCCAGTAGTTTTGAGGCACATAAGTGTTTACTATTTCCATTTTTAGTTTTGGAGATTTGTGGCTTCGCTGTTTTTAAACCCTGGATGTTTGCAGCATGTAAAACTTGTAATCGTTTGTTAAAGCTGCAGGTCCCAACTTGTGTAACAAACAGCCTGAGTTCATATTTTACCTTAAACTTTAAATTGAAATGAGGTAACCGGGGCCGAAATTATACAACATTTCACAAAAGAAGAAAAGAAAATTATAGAAAAGTCTAAAATACAACTTTCCTTTGGCAAAACTTAGATTTACCTGATTTATTATTGTCTAAGATTTGTTTATGACCTTTGATTAAAAGTAGCTTGAATTCCTCATTTAAAAAATTCACCCAAAGCAAATCGATTGCTGCGACCAGATTCTGTAGAAAGCTGAATATTTAGCTCTTCTTTGTGCGTCTGTGGAGCCGTCAGTGACTCTGATGTGACCAGCAGTCAGAGTTTTCAGCTGCAGGATGTAATTAAATATCTACGACATGTGGAGCATCGTTTGTTCAACCTGTGGACACTCGGAGGAATGTTGTACATGCTAAATAAATAACCCTAATGTCTCCAGTTATTATGAATGATAACAAACATACCCTCTGATTTTGCCCCACTAGCTTGGCCCGCCTCCTCTCTGTCGGGTTTTGAGTTTCCAGAGATCGATGGATCTGCTGTGGACACCTGCAGGATTTACATCGTCTCCGACGCCACGATGACATCAACATCAACAACAACAACAACAACAACAACAACAACGACACCCGTCACCAGGAAGGTGAGCAGCAGCCATGAGCCCCAAAAGGCTTTAAATAGATTCACTAAAAAATTAGCAACATGTTTGTTTTCACACCAACCAGTGTCTTCACCCGAAGCTTGTCGAGGATTAATCAGCATCATGTAGAAAATCTGTTTATAAAATGACATACTAGAAAAAACAAAACAAGACTTTCAAGACAAGAAATTTCCATCTGACAAAATAACTTTTGTGAACTTTTGTCGGCGGCACCTGAAGCCGACTAAACTTTATTTGTGTGGCGTCTTTCAGACACGTTGGAGCAGCTTGTGTGTTTACAGACGATGAACAAGCTGCTAAATATTATCACTTAAATGTCTGCAGACCAGAGCGCGCATGAAATGAAAAAATATGAAATTAACACTCGAATAACTAAATTATTAAGAGGGGGTAAATCTATTGAATCAAAATTGTGCCTAAATATAAATGGTCAAACACATGAAGTAAACTAAACTATTTATAACTCGAAAAAAACGTACTAGGTTTGTAATCGAAGGCCAGAATAAGTAGTTAAGTTTAGAGTTTGTGTTTTTAACCCTCTGAACCGCAAAACCATTTTTTAAATTGCCCAAATTGCATCATTTATCAGAACCAAAAAGTGTATAAACAGACAAAATTCTGAGATTTCCAACTTTCTCATGGTCCTTGAACTAATCACGTGTGATTTACGGCTCCATCAGGAAAAAACAACCAAATCTCATTTATTCTACAAATCTCATTTAAAAATTCACTAAAAAATAAACATGCTGCAGGAACAACTTTAAGTAAATAAATAAAAATTCTGCTGTACTTAATCCAGCCGAGAAGCCATGGCTGACTCAGCTGCGACCAACAGTCGCATAACAAAAATTCAGAGAGTTTTCAGGGTGAGCTGCAGGCAGAGACTGAGACTGAGAGGAAACTCAAACCTACTGGATCAATAAAATAAGGAGCAAGCTGTTGGAGATACATCCAGCATGGTGACACATCTGTCTACAGCTGATGAGCAGAGCAGAGAGGAAAAGTCTGGAGATAGTTTAATATCTATAATATTTGGAGCCACCATTTATTTTCTCCAGAATTGGTGACACCTGTTGGCACATGGATGTTGATTCCAGGCTTTTCCGATGTTTGAAACATAAATAGTCAAGGAAATTCAGCTTTGGTTTTAGTCTTTTTTTCATGATTTCTGGCCTTATAACAGTGTCATCCTGCACAGAAGACATTTCTAGTCCTTGTTCTGTTTCTATAGAGGTGCAGGACTTTATATTGCAGTGAGGGAAAAAAACAACACCTCAAAACGATTTGGAGTTCAGAGGGTTAAAGAGTCTGTATTCAAATGTGAACACGATGGCGACAGCATGTTGATGTTTACCAGATCTAATGTTTGTTCACTGGGTTTAAAGTCAACCAACAAACATTCCCCTGCCTTCATGTAAACTACTTCAACGTTTGAAAGGCGCCACACCAATAAATCTTCTGCCTGATTCTGCAGCAGGTGGTGGAAACAACCAAGAAGCCGGCCGTCCAGCCGCCGCCAAAGAAACCAGAACCCAAAGACACCGGAGCACCAATCAGGACACAACCAATCACGAATCACCACATCGTCAGCCTCCTTCACCGCCTCCTGGCCAATAGCAGAGCGCACGGGGCTGGTGTTCAGCCAATAGGACGGCAGCCTCGACGAGGTCAAGCCATGTCATCGGACAGCGACGAATCAGTGGCAACACGGAAAGTCGGTTCGGCTTCTTCAGACTCCAGCGACGAATCATAAAACCCAACCAGGAGCCAGCTTGGAACTTCTAGCATTTTGTAATTTTCGCTTTAATATTATTACAGCTGGTAAATATGTTTTAGCGACAATGTCTCAGGATCTCACGGTGAATTTTGCAGGACGTTGCTGTATCCCCAAAACACAACCAATCATTCTTTGGTTTTTTATTCTTTATCATATCCAAAAGAGCTGCATCAATAGCAGATTTTTTTTTACCAGTTGTTCTTTGCTGCTTTAAAAAGATGTAATATAACAAAACCAAAAACGTTTATTGTTAATAAACATGTTAATGCACGACTAAAGATGCTCAATGGATTAAATATTTTTTCTGCTTTAACATTTGGTGAAGTGGAGCTAAATGAATGAAAAACATGAGGTCTGCTTTCAGGTGAATCCGTTTTGTTCATGTTGATGTTGTGAGTAAATCAGGAGCTTTGTTGTGTTGGTTGTTGTGTGTTTGTGTCGCTACTGTCGTGTCCCTGCTGCTGAGGCTGTGATGGTGAACCGGACGGAGCTGGAGGTTTGTCTTTCCTCTGATCCTTCGTAGTGCCTTTGTTGTGTTTGCCTGAGAAAACAAAAAACAGAAATTATGACTGGGCTGGTTTTGTGCAACACCAACTTGTGCACACAAACTAAGTCTCCGAATCCCAAAACCTACCAACTGGTTTGAAATTAAACTCGTCGTTGAGCAGAGCTGATAAAATTACACCATTCATCAGAGCTAGAAAGTCTGATTTTGACACTTCCAACTGTAATCGAACTACTCATCTTTGAAAACAAACCAAACCTGAGCTTAAAATCAAGATATTTCATCAAAATCTATTTATTCTAAATGTCTTATTGAAAAAATTCTAAATAAAGCACAACAAATTTGGCCGTGACCAACAGTTAACGACACAAATTCAGGCATTTATCGGTTGAACTGCAGGCTGTGTTTATTTAGACAAAAGGAAACTGGGGTGGTTAGAAACCCTTCTTTGTCCAAAAGACAACATCGCTGAGAGCTAACACATGATGACCAGCCATCGTTAATGGGCTTAATACAATATTAAGATGTGCGTACCTTCTCTTCCTCGAAGCTCCGGCAGCGCTGAGCTTCTCAGATCCCGAAAATGGATGTGTGGTTTATTTTTAGTTACTGCGATGCCGCCACTGTTGGAGATCAGACTCTTCTCTGACGCCTGAAAGGACAGAGAGCGTTTACTTTGGAAGAGGCCATTTCTCCATGTTGGCTCAGTTGTATATAAGAGAAACAGCAGCGCACACAGTTACCTGGCAGGTGAGGGATCCTGTTATATGGTTGGACAGGAACGGTTGGGCCTGTCGGCTATAAATGCCTCCATGATGCCTTGACTTGTCAACACACCTGTATCACAGACAAAAGTATTGTATATACCAGTGTCAATTCAGATACTACATTGATCGCATCATTGGCCGACTGTTCGCTGAGCGACTGACACCAAACAAGTCTAGACTGAATAAATACAGTACAACAAAATGGGAATCCAGTCTTTAATATTAACCCATTCAACAAAGATTTTTGGATTTGTTTGGATGCTAAAATATGGTGTTCAGATCGGAAATTTCTGGAAGCTTTTTTGCTAAAATGAATCTCAAGTGGGTTGAAATTTGACACTCTGTAAGAAATATGGTACCTAAAACTGTGGGTCCCAGGATGGAAACCTGCCCCCGGGGTAAGGTGATCGCCAGCAGCTGGGCTGTTGGAGGGGATGACAGATGTGGCGGATGGAGGTAGGAGGAGAGGAGTGGAAGAAGGCGGTGGAGGAGGCGGAGGTGGAGATGAATGAGGCACTCTAAAATCAAACTCATTAAGGTCTGCATCATCCATGTTTGGAATGACGGAGTTTCTCGTCGAAGCTTTGGTGTCTGGAGTGACTGTAGATGAGACTGAAGTCAAATCTGTTGTGTCGTGTCTTTCTGGGTTTTCACTTCTTGCTCCTGGATCTGTTGCAAAAGTAGTTTTCTGAGTCTTTGGTGTCACTGTGGACCTCATGCTGTTGCTGAAAGACCCAGGCTTCGTCTTAGGTTCTCCAACCACAGATTTAGGGTAAGGGGCTTTCAAAGACTTCCCATCAGGTTCAAAATCACTGCTGCTTCTGGGAACATTCAAGCTCTGGTTTACTGAAAACTTGGTCATTGTACTAATAGACACAGAAAGAGCTAAATCCTCTAAAATCTCTTTATTTGACACTTTCAGTGTTTTCAGAATATTTGTCCCTACTAATGCGTTTTCATTCAGCATGGAGGTTGAAGTTGTTCTGGTTTCTGTAATGATCTTAGACTTGGAAGTTGCTTGTTGATGTAGGCTGGAGGGCTCAAAAGATTCAGGGTTCTTCTCGTTTGTAGGTTTTTCGGTCACTGGGTTCACCTTCAAAAATCCCTGATCCTCCTTGAGGTCCTTGTCTTCTGTAAGTGCTGAGCCTTTTGGAGGCCCCTGCAAAGTTGAGCCAGTTTTGGACACCTTTGGATTTGAGAGTCCTTGAGGTAGTGCTGCAGCACTGGGGGCCGGACTGGCCTCTCGAATAACTGTAGACAACAGCGCTGAAAGATCTGAGGTAAGGGTCTTCGAAGGACTGGTGGGTAAAGACAAAGTGTTCCTGTTCGATTTTAGGTTTGAGGTGGCTGGCTTATGGTTGGAGGCTTGGACTTTTAGACTTTCAGAGGTCCTTTGCTCCATGTCACCTGTCGATTGGTCGGTCTGTCGCTCTGAAGTAGTACTGGTCTTGCATGGCTTGGTAGCAACCTCAGTGTGATGGCTGCTTGGTGGTTGAGACAACTCAAGAGTCATGTTGGTGTCAGTCTGATCAACAGCAGACTCCAAAGAAACTTTTGGAGATGAAATCACATTTGCATGGTCAGTGGTCGAACCTTTAGGCAACTTGGGCACTTTTGTGTTTGTCTTGTTCCAGCTCTTCCCAAACTCTTGACTTGGCTCTGATTTAGGCGATCTACAGATCTCCACCTTGTTTACCTCAGTTGCACTTGACTTTGTGTTGTCTGAGGCACGACAGTCCTTGTCTTTTATATTTTTCAGACTGTCCTCGATCTGTCCTGGAGACATGACTTTTTCATGTTTAGGTTTTGCGGCCACTCTGTTATTCTCCTTAAGGCTTGTTACAGTCTTTGTAGCATCTGATGTTTCAGACATAGACGTTTTAGTTGACTTGGAAATCTCACAACCTTTCCTCAACTCTCCACCGGTGGTTTTTCCTGGTTTACTTTTCATGGGCGACTGCACTGCATTATGAATGCCCTTGCTACCAATTGTTTTGGGTTGTTTGATAGCGATCAAAGGCTCTGAGGTATTACGGATGGTCTTCAGCACCTTTGAAGGCTGTTTCCCTTTCGTTTTCTCCGTCTTTTCCTTGTTGAATTTCTCATCCATGTCTTCTGGTTGTTTCTTGTGTTTGTCTCTGTGGTTCTTCTCATCGCTGTCTTCCCTTTCTTGCCTGAGGTTTTTGGTTATTTTGGGAAGGGTCGAGTTTTCTCTGTGGTCTTTTTGGATTTTGGCATTCAGCTCATCCAAAAATCTGTAGAGACAGAGAAAAATGCAGTCGGTCAGTTTACCCCCAATTTGGAGGCTACTCAACAAAGAAAAGCTTGCCATTTAAGTTTTCACTTTTTTGTTTTTCCTGCCTATCTACTGCCCAATGTTCCAGTCCAGTAGATGGCGGTAATGCTCCTATAAGTTGCCAACTTCAGTGGTTGGCAATCACCAATGAACCCCAAAGAAGGAGAAGAATAGAACTTTGCTGGTTTAATTCCTGGATTCTGTACTCTTGCTAACATGCATTAAAAACTACACTAAAACTATGAGATGATGCAATCTAACTAAAAAACAAAATAAAACAGAAAAAGTACTGTTTTTATAAGAACTTATCACACGTAACTGTAAAAATGGAAAACATTGAGCGATGTACCTGATGTGGAAAGAATCCTGTGTGAAGAGATGATGCTCCAAGAGCTCCGAACACTGAGCTCGTCTTTCTGGATCCATCTCTAGACAGCTCTGAGAGACAGCACAACGGCATTACTCATATGTCTTATTTAGAGTCTGAATAAACAACACACTGAACAAGATTAGTTGTGGTCATTTTGAGAAAACTTAAATTAATGTAATTACCAGTGACCTGCATCATTGTTCTGATAAGATCAACATCTCTACTCTTAATCAACAATGAATGCGTCAAACTAATGTGTCGTCATTCTGATTTAATCTGATGTCTGTGGTGGATGTGATCATGTCAGGTCTTAAGATGCCCTCATAAATGTAGACCTGTGTTCCTAGCTTTGAAAAACTTTTAGTAGGCTGTGTGAACCCAGAGTTCTTCTTTGTTCATCACTCTGACACTGAGGCAATGTCAAAACAGAAAGGGACCTGCAGTCGCTGAACACCAACAAAACAACATGGACATAACTCCACTTACAGGTTGTCAGATGAATGACAGGCAACAAAAGCTACAAACAAACCCTTCATGCTCCAAACTACTGTCCAAATTAAGATTTAAATCTTAAAGTCAAGTCCCAAACACTGTTTTTAACCTAGAGATGGACTAAAAGAACTAACCTGTGCCAGATCCTGGGCAGCGGGTGTAATTGTAGGGAAGCGCTGCTGCAGCTGGACTCGACCAGAACATTCAGGCAGTCTGACTCCAGAAAAGACCGGATTTCTGTAGAACAACTCCTGGTGATGAGTTGTCAGGTTACCTATGGAAGACAGAAAGAAAGTAAAGTTAGCATGGAGAACAGAAAAGACACCTTGCTAATGTTGTGCAAAGCGCTTACCGAAGCACCTGATGATGTGGTATATCTGGTCGAGGTCAGAGTCTCCGGGGAACAGAGGCTGACCCGTTAGCATCTCTATTAACAGACACCCCAACGCCCACACATCTACTGGTCTACAAACACACACGTTAACATTTTTATTAACCAACCTACAGGTAACATGCTCATGTCTTCAGACAGATACTTACTTGCCGTATTTGATGTCTCCAACCAGCAGTTCAGGTGCTCTGTACCAACGAGTGGCTACGTAGTCGGTGTAGACGCCACCTTCAGAAGGCGATGCTACGGTGCGGGCAAAGCCGAAATCGCAAAGCTTGACCACACCCCCTTGAGAGATGAGTATGTTCTCTGGTTTAATGTCACGGTGGATGATCTGAGACAGTAAAGACAAAATCAAAACCCTTTATTGAAAGTCGGCAGTCCTTCCTGTGGTAGGCCGGAAGCTCCTTCAACTGTCACAACAACATGGACAACGTATGGTTTATTTCTCTATCTGCTTTGGGCCGGTGTTTGAGAGAATTTTAAATGATTAATCCTTACATTTTGCTGGTGGCAGAAGGCGGTGGCCCTCAGGATCTGGTACAGGTACTGCCGGCTGGTGTTCAGGTCTAGTCCAGTCGGATTATGCTCCAGATCCTCCAGAAGCGTCCGGTCCACAAACTCAAACACCAGATACCAGCGGCGACGCCGCTTCCACACTTCTAGGAGGTTCACCAGGTTGTCGTGACGGAGTTGCTTTATGGGTAAACAAAATATGAGCATGTTAAAGATGGATGTGATCACTCAGCGGGTGCAGGACAGTGACAAGAACCAAAAACTATGACCACTGCAAACTGGATCTTGTTAGCTCGTCCCTTTGCATCAATGTGAACCAGGTGATGATTCTTAACTGGTGGTTCAAAGTTGATTCAACTCGCGAACCTTCTAAGAACCAGTCTGCTTCAACATTCACCACAGAGCCACGTTACATCACTGTATATGCCCTTTAAAGCAGCGGTGTCATTACTCCTTCTAGTTTATTCTGAACTTCAATCGAACACATCAAACAGCAGGGCGAGGGAGACAAAAAATGACTCCACTGGATGTCCACAAGCTTCTGCACCAATTTCTCGCCCGAACTGAAGCTCCGGCTTTTCAACCTCTTCAGATCGGGAAACTTGCTGTTTTTTTTGTTTGGTTGTGTTTTTTTAAACTGGTTGCCAAAAAGTGGTATATATTACAGTTTCTTTAATTTTAAGCATCATTTAATTGATATTGGTGCAACAGTCTACCTCGTTGTACCGCCCACAGAAGTTTTATGACTGATAACACAACAACCACAAACAACTCCTGTTCTTCTTCTCACGGCGATGGTCAAACTAAACATGAGAATCTGACCCTGAGCTGATCGACAGGTTTTGCTTCACTCAGGTTTCAGGCTCCTATGGACCTCCCGACTCATTGATTGATTGGCCGACTGACTGACAGGTTGGCCGATGGATTGATTGACAGCTACCCTGAGCAGCTTGATCTCCCTGAGGGCGATCTTCTTCACCGCCTTGTCGTCGTCGGAGTCCATGAATTTCTTGATGGCGACGAGGCGACCGGAGTCTCGGTGGCGGCACTTGAGCACGGTGCCGTAACTGCCTTCCCCGACCGGACCGAGAGACTCATAGCGCTCCATCAGACTCTGGAGGGACGAGAAAAGACTTCTGAGCTCTAAACTACACAACTTAGGTTTTTATTTATGGCACCAAAAAACCAAAACGGTTTACAAATTTGTTATTGTTGCTGCTGTTGAGTCCAAAATGAGCCATACCCCTGATATACATATTAATAAAATAATGTAAAATATGAAGAAAAAAAAAGTTTAGAGATGATTCTGAGATGCATTGGTATGTACACACATTTTTAAGCACAATCATAATTTTTACATTAACTAGTAGTAATTAAAGGTGTCAAACCAATGTTGTGAATAAAACAACAACAACAAGGTAAACAACAACAACAACAACCTGCTGCGATACAAAAACACACACACACACCCAACACACCGACCTTACTGGGTTTCCTTTCCTGGCTTTAATCTGCTCGGTGAGCTCCCGGTATCACCGTAAACACTGGAGTAATGCTGTGTGTAACGTGTCGCAGCCACCGGAGACGACAACATGACTCCGTGTGTGTGTGTGTCACCCTACACGTTGCCATAGCAGCACTCCCCCCCTCCTCCTCCAGTTGTTATTGCTGGGAGAGAGTTTTGCTGTGTTCGGACATGAGCTGAAATAGCTTTTAAACCAAGTGTTTGTTCACATTTTGAAAATCTAAGTGAGCCGAACTCACGAATAAGTTTCCTTTAGTCCGTGTGCTGTTGGATGTTTTTACAAATATCACCGAATTACTTTTATACTCAAGAAAAGGTAAAATCCTACAAATTCTCAAGCAAGTTCTGAAGGGCATTTTTTTTCTCGAGGATTTCTAAGCAGTACCATGTCTGTTTAGATTTGACTGAGCTGTGACACAAAAACTAAATCTCAGTTGTTATGTTTAGATTCACTTGAAGCAGCTTTGCCTATTTTGAAGCGTTGTTTTTCCACATTTTAAGTTTTTTTGTGTGTTTACCTTGAGTATAAGATACATAAAATGATTCTGAACTCTGTAAGCAGACTGTCAACATTTTTATAAAACGACTTCAAATGTTAAAGCAAAACTATACGTAAACTTGTTAGTCACAAACATTTCTACCAATCGCATTTTGTATTCAGTCATGTTAATTTGGGGCTGCAGTGAAAACAGTTAAAGAAATTAAGCAGTTAAATAAAACATGTACACAAGATGATTTACTGATTTGTTAGTCTTGCCCTTATGAGACTTCTAAAACCCCAGTATGCTTATGTTCAACTTGTAACAGCTGTTATGTTATCACTTTTTAAAACGTTATGTTCTGTATGTGTTTAAATATTGCCGTAGTAATGTTTGTAGTTTAATATGGCACAAAAACTTCACAAATTCTAGCAAAAATGGACCATAAATAAGCTATAATCCACATGAAGACAACATTAATTACCTACTAAGAATCAATACTTCATTTTTATACTTACCAGGTCTTACTGATGCCGAATAGAGAGGATAAAAGTCCAGACATTTATTATAAAAAGCTGACAAGGCAGAAAAACACTGATTAACAACCAGTCTTCTCACAGGAGTCTACCTGTGGCAACAACTCATTTCAAGCTTTCAACCTGTTAAAGATAATGCAATCAGGGTATTTTTTAATTTATCACTTTATTATACAACTTTATAGCCAACACCAACCTGTGAGTGTAAAAAGAGAAACCGCTCTCTGTCTCCACCTGGTGTCACATTTGCTGTACTGCACAATTTGACCTCCACTGCACATTTATGGTTGTGTTTTTTTTTCCCCTTTAGAATTAATTTGACCTCAAAATAAACCAAAAAAGCAAAAAATAAAAATGAAAATCATAACAAGAGTAAATATATTCTATTTGTGTACACCGTAAGCACATTCTAAGAGGACGTAATGTCTTGTTATTTTAGTGTCATTGGTTTGCATTGCAGCAAATACTTTCCAGATTCCTAAAACAGCAGCTCCATTATCCATCAACATGAGTCAGTACAGGCTGACAACACCCTAAATCACAGCGATGGTGCCAGTTTGGAGCAGTGAAACAGCTGTTGATTGGGTTGATTAAAGAAAATCCAAATACAAACAGTATGTTACATATGTAACAGTGAAGACGAGTGTTTAGGAGCCACCACATGAACAGAGGGAGGAGGTTGGGGTGGTTGGATGGGACCACTTTTGTTTCTTGCCCCCATCCATCCATTTTCTTCTTCGTATTAGGATTAACTCGAGGTCTCCCTAGGCCCACAACAGTGAGTTCTGGCTCTACCCTGGGGTTTCCTCTTAGTGCCTGGAAAACCTCCAAAGGAAAGAAGCCAGGAAGTATCATAATCCAATGAACCTGAACCACCTTAGATAGCTCTGTTATACGCAATGGAGCAGCAATTACGAGCTCTGCCTCAATGTCCCAGTTCTATCAAGAAAACCAATTTTGGATGCCGAAATCCTTTTCTTTTATTTTGTGACCATGAGTGACCAACTGTTAAATCAAGAGATTTGCCTCTCAGGTCCCTCTTCACCACGATTTTCAGGTGCAACGCAACATTAACCCTTTCAACAGTATAGCCCGCGATACCGGTCTGCGCCTTTCACCCCGTCAACACTGCAGCCCGGTATAGCGGGCTCCAGTATATGGGGACTTTCTGTTACATTCATTTTGATTGTCTATCAGTGGGAATCCCCCGTGTTTGACCAAATTTGGGCTGATATGCTGTTTTCGAGGGTACGTAACGGGAAAACATTTAACAAGCGCTGATGGAGTTTCACGACTGTCATCTTTGCTGCAAACGCTGTGATCCACTAGCGTATTTGCCGCTAACCATCAGCAGCATTCGCCAAGACCCCCCGGTCAACAACGACTCCTTCGTTTAAGGCAGCAACACACCCCCAACCCAGAGGGAACAGTATACTGATATCTGAGAAACTTAGCCTCGGACTTGGAGGTGCTAACCATCATCCCAACTGTAAGCTGCCCCAGTGCCGCTGAAGGTCATAGGCTGATGAAGACAACAGAACCACGTCACATTTGCACAAAGGAAACGACATTCCCACTGGACATCATTCTCACCCTGGCTACACCTTAAGACAGGGGTGTCCAATCCTGGTCCCCGAGGGCCACAGTCCTGCATGTTTTAGATGTTTCCCTCTTCCAACACACCTGATTCAAATGATCAGGATCATTACCAGGCTTCTGCAGAGCTTGATGATGAGCTGATCATTTGAATCAGGTGTGTTAGAAGAGGGAAACATCTAGAACATGAAGGACCTTGAGGACCAGGATTGGACACCCCTGGCTTAAGATTCCGTCCATGAATATTACAAACTAGATCAGACATGAGTGGCAACCTTGGTAGAGTCCAAGACTCACCAGAAACTTTTCATGTTTTACTTCATGCCAAAGATACAAACACAGCTCTCACTTTTGTTGTAAACGGACAGAATAGCAGTAAAACCCCAAAGGGTTCTCCAACGGGACACTGTTGAAGGTCTTCTCAAAGCCCATAGAACCCCTGCGTTGGTCGGTCACTCCCATGAACCTTAGTAAATCTGCAAGGTTCAGGAACTGCTCCACTTTCTTGCTCCCAAACCACTTGGACCTTGACGACAAATGTTCTCACACATCATCAAATTTGAGATTGTTCTATTGAGGGTCATAAACCCTGAGCGAAGCTGCTGAGACTCGACATCCTCCTCATGTGGGGGCACCTTGTACTCCATTCTGCTTTACATGGACCAACTGTGACCATCAAAGAAGACCAACAAATGTAGAAACAAAAATGTATTCAATTTTAATATGGCATTCAACAAACTTTAACAAAAGTAATAAACAACAACACCAATAATTTCAGAACCCACTTCCTGTTCAAAGACAATGTTTACACAATACTAAATAACCTGTAAGGTTAACAATCATGTCCACACTTGGCAAAAATCTGCAATTTAGAAGGACAAAAATCTTCATTCTGAGCACCTAAAACAGTGTTTCTGTGTAAAATGTTGCAAAATAATACTGCTTTTAATAATTAAAGTGGTCCAAAATTTTAAGCAACGGTCTCTAAAAGGGCGTCCGTCCTAACCAACTCAGCAGTGGTTTCAGGAGCGAGAACAAGAAGTCCAGCAAGTAGCGGCTGAGTGAACTTGGTCTGGACTCTGTGGAGGAGAGTCATGGTGTCAGAGATGTTGTAGAAAGACAGAACACCTGCTCTGTGGTCCAGGTAGACTCCTACTGTGGAGGAAATAGGACCTGAGACGGGAGACTTGATTTTGTTGTACAAAAATATATAACCATTTGTGTGACAGCACAGAGCCCAAGATTTGTCATTTAATCCGAATTCGCATGCATCTGACCATCCTGTTCTGTTGATATCTTTGTATACGACTGCTACATTAACTACAGTTCCGCTCCACTTCACCTCCCAGTAACAACGTCCAGTCAGACTCTCTTTACTCAGGACCTGAAAACATCTGGTGAATCTGTCTGGATGATCAAGATATGGCTCATTTGTCATCCTTATTGTTACTTTTCTGTTTCCTTTAGATAATGATAGATATCTGTGGGCTGTGTTTGGATCCAGAGTGATTTCTCGTGAATATTTCAAGAACTCAGCTCTGGTCTTTGGTTCTGGTTGTGA